TCTGTAAACCATCACCTACATCACAATAAAAAGTTTTATTTTTAAAAAGATCCTCTTGTCTACCTCCCTTTGAAACCTCCATGTTCAGTGAGATGAAATAGATATCTGTGTTTCCTACTGGATTGTGACCTGCTTGATGGTAGGAATCTTTATATTTCCCACCGTGCCTGAAACAAAACCGAGACAAACAGAAAGTATTTGTAAAGAACAACGCACACGTGGGCAATCAAAAATAAAAAGGGAATTTTAAAAACGTTTCTATTGCGGAGCAGAAGCAGTGTTGTTCTGCAGGGAAGCAGCGAAACTCTTACCCTTCTCTCTCTTCCTTCATTACTTCCCTGGACTGGCTCAAGTCATATCCCATCCTGTCAAACGCCTCCATGCCAAAAAAATGACAGGCTTTCACTCCATCTTTTATCTTTCAGTTTCCTAGATGCAGCCGGTTGTTGACTGACACGGAGTCAACACCCACTCCTGGGGACCCCCTGCACACTGGAACAAAATGCTGCCCAGTCCTGCGCCGTCTCCGTGATTGGTGGGCATTGAATCATTGCTAATTATAGAGCTTTCATTGGCTATGTGGTAGTTACATAATCTCATGTCAACTTGAAGATTTATAAAAGTACAGGGGTGGTATCCAGCCTGTGAATCAGGTCACAGCCTCAAGGTGCCTCCTTGTGGGCCTGGCCTTATCATAAGGTGGGCCTGAGGAACCTCCCTTTCTCTCTGCCCCTAACCTGAGAGCTGTCAGAGCTCTGCTATTTTTCCACTGACCTTGGATCCAGGTCACTCTGCACCCATCAGCCTGTGATCTTCCTGCATTCTGCATCATGGCAGGAGGCTGCATGAGTCTGAAGAGGGACTAAGGGACTCGTATCAGACTTCACTTGAGTTTGACGGGGCTGGGATGCTTTTTTCATATATCATTACTTCTTGATATAAAGCTCTTTCTTACACATATGAGCGTCGCTGAATTTGCTTCTCCAGTTAACTGGCTTAACACAGGCTGATTTTTGGAAGTCGATTATCAGGACTTTTTTTCTTATTCTATCTCCATGTAGAATCTTTATTGAAACCTGTTCATCATCTTAACAACATGTAAGTCTCTATTGACAGACAAGTGGTCACTGTGCATGCAGGTTTTTGACCAACAATCAAACTCTGTATGTGGTCAAACCAGTTTGTCTATGGTTTCTAAAGCTAGTTCTTAGAATTCCTGAATCGTCAATGTACTTTTTGCTTTTTAAAAATAGCCACGGGGGAGAGGGAAGCAGGGAGGGAGGGAGAAAAATGAGGAGCTGATATTACGGGCTCAAGTAGAAAGCAAATGTTTTGAGAATGATGATGGCAACAAATGTACAAATGTGCTTGACACAATGGATATATGTA